AGCAAACAGGAAGTTGTATTAAACATTCTGTAACACTGGTTTTTACGTGTCAACACCATGGCAGACGTGGTTTCATCAGTGTCTGATATAGCATCTGAAACCTCTGAGAGTTTGAGTTCAACCGCCGATTTGAAGCCAACATGGCGAAAGATATTTAATGTCTCAAGAACCTAAATTTGTCCAATATATTTGCTCTTGTTATTGTTTATTATTACTATTGCTTTGGCATCTATGCTCCCATTGCATCTAGAGCCACACAACCAATAGTTTCTGCACTGTATCAGTACATTTTAGCATTCTCAAAAGTAAAGAAATCAAGAGCTGGATATCATTCTACCAATCTGTGTAATGATAGTTCAGTCAATACAACATAATTTTGTAAGCATCAACTTTTTTCCAATAATATTTGAGTGGCACCAAGGGTTCTAGCATTGCTGCTGTTTTTGGTATAATCCAGGAGGACACTGCTGTTGCATCGGTGCACTCTGTAGATAACCTTTTAGATTCAACATCTGAGCATCCCGTATTGACCAGCTCCTGTAGTTTGTTTAGCAACTTTGCTCTAAATGGTCATTGCAGATCCACAGTGATGAAGTGCTGTCCTCCTCGTCTGCAACTGTACTCTATATTTCCTTTCCAAAGGTGCAGGGTTCAATTAGAAAACAGCTGTTCAAACAAGCAACATGTGAAGAAAAAATAAATAAAAGCTCTGTCTCCTTTCTTCAGGCTCTTCCTAAAGTCACAGAATCTGATGGTTGCAGAATATGGTACAACACCTGCTAGCAACACACACACACACAAAAGCAGAAACACAGCTCGGCTGAGCTACTAAGGTAGCGATTTCCAGAACCAAGTCCGAACTGACTCCCACTCGCTTAAGAGAAAAAATCTCAGACAGTACCTTTAATGTTGCCAAGTTATTGAAATGCATGTAAGGCTCTGATATTTTGCTGCAGCTGTAAAGAATGATATTAAACTACGCTGGAACCACAACATTGAAGAACATAAAATGAATCAATGTCGACAAAGGCGAGTCACTGAGTGGTGCCAGTGTGTTGACAAATGCTGACCATCTATTCAAGTCATCAACTGTGGGATACATTTTTTGTGGATTACAGAAGAGAATTAGATTTTTTATATTGTGATTTATGACTAAATTGTTAGACAAAATTAACAGCTGGGACCTATTTATTTTTAAATAATTGGTACAGTGTAGCTACATTGAATTTCTACGATTTTGATGCAAAGTCTGGCTAGTATTTTTAGGATTAGTGTTTGAGGGTTTACATAAAACAGCTGTGGAGACGAGCCGTGTTGCACCCACACAGATGCAGCAGATGGTTATGACTGGCCCTTGTGTACTCACCTGAAATGTAAGTTCAGGTCAAAGGTTTAACCTTTTCTCTGAATCAAACCTAGAGGTAACCATGGCGACATGGTAGCTGGTTCATGATCTGTTTGCTGACGGCTCAAACCCAAAGTGACCACAAACACTTTGAGCTCCCATGAATGATTAAATGCAAAGTTCTGGCCAGCTCAGAGAAAGGAGGTCGGAGGCTGGTGGCAGATGCATCATGGGAGACGTAGTTCAGACCTTTGCTCATGACTTGTCTAGGAAAAGATGCTGAGATCAGTTCGACCCCTAACACAGTAGGCAAAAATATGGACAAGAATAAAGAAAATCATTTTCTGTGAATGAATCAAGAGAGGAATGAGCCACTCTCACTTTTCAATGCTGCTAAATCTTTCAGTAATGACAGCAATTGTATAATTTTGTCACACACCCTAATGTATAGATAAAATAGCTGAACGCCAAGGCAAAGCTCACACCAGAAGAGTCTGATGGTCATGTTTAAATGACCATGTAACAACTACGGGCTAAGCAGCAACATGGCAGAGGTTTTTTTGTTTTACGATGATGGCAGAGATGTAACATCAAAAAAACAAAGATGGCGGCGGCTCAGAAATGGTGCTCAAATGAAATGGCTTTAGCATCAACTTTGGACAACTTAGACATGGGTTTTTCTTTGAGACATGAGCAGGTAGGGGTACTCAAGTACTTTATTTTTTGAAAAAGGATTCATTAGCTTCTTCTTTCACAGTCTATGGAGGACTGCCCTGCTGACTGAATACATCACATTGTTCATTGCTCTGATTGGTTCTAGTGCTGTCCAATTGTGTGTGGAGACACCTGTAAATTCCACCCTACAACTGAGCTCACTCTATGGGTCGTGGCAAGAATATATACCATAAATCCTCTAATATTAGCCTGTATTTAATTAGCTGCCGGGTATCGTATTTTGGCCGGTGTCGGAGTCGGCGGAGGTGAATAATGGCCGGTTTTTTATTGTGGCCGGGTGGAATGTGGTAACAAGCAAGTGCGGGGGGCGGTTGCGTCATCCGTCTCACTTTTGATTTGCCAGTGATAGACCGCGAGGGTAACTTTAACCGTGCGGAGATGAAGAAGAGGCGAAAATTTGATATCAAGTTCAAAGAGAACGTGCTGATTATGCTGCAGAACACTCTGGGGAGCAGTAGGGGTTGTATGAACTAGTCACTAGTCGACTTCACCACTCTATAGTGACTTGTTATGCCTGTCATCAACTAGTCACTGTCACATGATAATGACCGGCAAGATGTAGTCCACGGAAAATACAGCAGCCTGCTGTCAGCAGGTGACAAGCTCCTGTGCGTCGTGAGGCAACGCGCTGTGCCAGAGCGTCGGTACTGACACCCGCCGTAAAACGGGCATTTAACCAAATTGTGACGTTTACCCTCTTGCAATTTAACCTTCCCCTCACCCCCATCCTAACCTTAACCAGCTTGCGCATGCAAAGCTCTGATGTGCAAAGCAGATGTCTGACGCGCTCCAGACATCTGCGTCCTGAGCATGGCCACAGTAACATTATCAAATCAGGTGTCGCCACCTCAAAAACTAATTTAACACGCGATCGTTCATGTCGGCTCATTTCCTTTTATGTTTTCTGTCTTTTATTCTTTTATTTGTGCCTGATGCGTTTCGCTGCTGTGGATCGGGGCGCATCACCAGTTTTGTCCTCGGTGACGCACCTAAGTGATGTGGCCGGCAAGCACTCCGCTGTTTTTGCAGTCGGTAGGTCTTTAAGAACTGCAGTTCAAAGGTAACTCATGAGGTGAATATATATGAACCCAGGTAGCAGTTTTTCTTTAGGATTGAGAAGAAATGCAGGAAGATAATAAACAGACAGGACTGAAAAATAGTCAAATAAAAACAAGTTAGTTTTTGTACCTGCTGTTGCAACAAACAGACACCATTGAAGGTAATCAGAAGTGAGGAACAGAAAATGAAATAATTATTTTAATGTTTAGAGCAGCGGGAACTCCGAGAGGCTGCAGGCGCATCAGTGAGTTTGCGGACGCTGCGCAGGGGGAGGGGGGAGAGGGCTGAAGCAGAAACTACCGTTGTTAAAAGAAATGTGTTTAACTTTGAAAATGTGGGCGCAATTTTAATTGTCAAAAACTTCAGCGAACCATTAGTTCTTTTTGCTCAAATAGAAATAGAGGCCTGCCTCTAATTCTGGTCCTCCTTCCAATAAAGGCCTGGAGCTTGATGAGCTTGAGTCAAATACAGGCCCGGGCCTGTATTAGAGGATTTACGGTATTCACATAAATGGCTTGCTAGGCTACAGCACAGCCACAATGACGTATAAACTCTTCAAAATGTCATATTGCCTTCTTTTCTATAGAATGGAAAAGAACAGAGTAGAATGGTATAAACCTTTTTTATCCCACAAATGAGAAATGTAAGTGTTACACAGTTCTTATAGCTAAGGGAATAAAGAAGAACAAACACTAAACAACGGCCTTTGAAGTGCGTCTTCCCAAATGATGGTTCTGAAAGTTTTACTGAAAATAAATACTGTTTGTCATTTATTGTGACAGAAACAACACACCACTGTTTCCCACATCCTATCTGTTGTGCTTATGCAGCTAAACAATTGATTCAAACATTTATGACACGTTGATTCTGGAGCATAACATTAATCTTTTGAAACTGCTTCAAATAAACACTAGCCTGATGTTAGTCCACTGATCCCAATCCCAATAAAAATCATTTCCAATCACCTGTATCAAATGATTCCCATAATTTATCTCTTAAGTGTGCTTCTATGGTAACCATTTGAATATGGTAATTTTCTAATCTTCCCAGTATCCTTTGCTCTTGACTGACTGCTTTCTGAGCCTGTAAGACTCCCTGTGCTGTTCCCACAGCCTCTAACAACCAGCTAGAATCCACTGGTCCTTCAGTTTTTTTCTCTCAGGGCTCTCAGACTGAGATTCAAACTGGATCACGAATCGGGATCTGGTCTGATTGAGTTTCATAATACATAAAAATAAATTATAACCTCAGCCACCTACAGACATCTGATTACAGAACACACAGACAGAGACAGTTCGTCTTCAGTTCAACTTTCTGGAACATTCAGGGCCATTCTCACTGGAAAGGTTCAGACCAGATTCAGACATTTAGTCCACAGAAACTGGACTCTATAGTTTGAGCCTACGACAGACAGGAGTTCTAGAGCATTTACCCTTTAAAGCTGAATTAATCTGGACAAATAGAGGAACTTCAGCTGATTACAAGCAAATTTATTCCAGATTGTTCCGTTCTCACTCACAGAACATTGTGTTCTGTCTGTGATTATGTGCACAAGCGTGTCGTCAGTAAGAACATGTGGAAAGACAATGAAAAGATTAAACTGCTGTTATGGATGCAGCTGCTGCAGATTAAAACCACCCAGCCTGATGTCCAACACTGATGATTCACTAGAACCAAGATCACAACATGGAAACACCAGAAAAATCCATCAGCATCATCACGACCATCATTAGCTGTGACTGCATGCACTCCTCCTCCTGCTGGCTGAAGTATGTAGCAGTGTCTGCTTCAGTTGCCAACAGAAGTTTGCAGTGAGTGTGACAGGTGTAAGTGTGTGTATAAGATGGGTGTGTTTGCTAACCTGTCCAGGCTGAGCGAGGATCGAGAGGTTCCTGTGTGGTACAGGGGCTTCAGGTCTTGGATCAGCGCATCTCCTACCGACTTCTGGTTCCACCTCTGAGCCAATCGGGAGATCTTACTGTCCGACCTGACAGAACACAAGAAGAGTCAGTGTACAGACTGGTGCCTCCAGAATGCGGAACCGGGTCCAAATGAACAAGAACAAGATGTTCGGAAACTTTCAGACATAATGAACCCAAAACACAAGCATCTCTTAAAACAGAGTGACCCAAAAGAGAACCAGATTCTTTAGAATAAACAGACTCAGCAGAGTAATGGCTCAGACTTCAGCAAGTTTCACTGACAACAATTTGATTCTGAAAGGTTGCTGCAGTTCTGCTTCCTGCTGGACTGCAGCAAAATCCATCATAAAGGAAAAAAAAAAAAGATCATGCCTCCTAAGAGTCCAGATCAGCTCAGGCAGATTCTCACTGCCCTGCACCAGACTCCCCCAAATAAGGTTCTGGTCTCACACCAGAAACCTGTTGGATCAGAACTCATGCTCTAAAGTTGCTGCCAAAGCTTTTAAATCCTGTCAGAACTTCTTCAGGTGTCAGAGACGACGTTCTCATACTCACAGCTGGCAGATCAGCAGCAGATCTGTCCCAGCATCCAAGCCTCCTCTGCTGGGTTTGATCTCTCTGACTGACGCCTTCTGTCTGATTCAGGCTCTCTGAAGCTTTGGATCATTTCTGCTGAAGAGTGATGGGTGTGAGGGGCTCCAGCAGCTCCCCCCAAATGGGAGAGATGGTCATGGGTCCAAACGACCGCGACTATCTGCTGCCTAGAGTGGTGCTCTGGCTGAGCGCAAGAAACACCTGTTCGCCGGCAAACGCATCGGCAGCACATGAGAGAGCGAGGGAGCACGCGCACAAACAGTGATTTACATTTGGATGGAGGAGGGGCGGCAGACTGAAAAGGATGTGAAGAAAAAGAGAGCAGGGGGTGAGATCACTGACGCTCGGGAGGAAACAGTCGCTGCAGCAGAAGAGATAAATTAATTTATAAAAAAGATTATTTTTACAGCAACAAGTTGTAAAAGTCAGAGAACACCAAAGTCTCCAATTTAATATTCAGTTTGGGTTCAATTCAAAACCACAAAAATGCATTCACAGTTGGAAAAAACACAATTTCTCTACCTTTAAAACTCACTATAGTGATTTTCCCTCGAAAAACAAAAACATAAAATCAAGAATGAATTAATTTTTTGTATCATAATAAAAAAACTGAGTGATCTGATACAATATGAATACAAATAATAAGATAGTTTCATTATTGTAATATTTTCTCATTTTACTGTAAGAGATAAATTGAAACCTAATTTACAAAACAAACACGCAATTTGTTAATTCCAGTCTTAGTCTGAACATCTGGTGAAAAAATGTTTTACAGTAAAATCTAACGTGAAACTATTGTTGTGAATTCTTGCATCTAAGGCTGCAAAACATTCCAATAAAACCCATTTCAGGCAGTTTTTCCACACTTTGTAACATTTCCATCCAGTTTCCAAGTGAGCATTCACCTGTTATTTCAATAAATCTGATGTCTAGTATTAATAAATGCCCTGTGAGTCGTTTTCTGTCAAAGAAAAGCTCCCATGCTCCTGTTTCAGGAGGTAGAGGTCAGCTGGAGGAGAGGGGAGCAGAAGACGGCAGGTTTTAAAGTCTTATTAATATTTGCAAATGCTAACAGTTAGCTTTTTCTAGACAAGACGTGCTCTGCTCTCTCCTGGATGCTAACTCAACAACAGCCTTCCCTGTCATTAATCAAGATGGTTGAGTCCATGAATGCAAATTTATAATGTGATGTAGATCTGTGTGGCTTTTCTACTCAGAGTATTCCCGTCTATTATCCATCGGAGGCTGATGCCTGCATGTGAGTTCAGAGTGACTGCATTTCAAAAGAACAAGTATTACATTTGTCAGTGAACCTCCTCTTTAAAGACATTCTGACATCAAAGACTCAAGGCCATACAGCTTTTTTCATCCTGCTTTTCTAGAAGAAAAATATTTAGGGGTCCAACAGAATAAAAAAGCTTTAATTGTAGTTTCCATTTCTACATTGGGGTAAAAAAAAGTAATTATTCAGCCACCGATCGTGCAAGTTCCCCCACTTGATGACATGAGAAAGGCCTGTAATTTTCATCATAGGTGAGAAATGGGAAAAAAAAATCTAGAAAATCACATTGTCTGATTTTTAAAGAATTTAATTGCAAATGCTGGTGGGAAATGTGCATTAGGTCTCCTACAAACAAGCCACATTTCTGCCTCTCACAAGCGTGGACTGCAGTTGGCCTGTCCAAAATCAGTCCTCTCCTTGTAATGTGAGTAGAAATGAGTTTTTGGATGTCCTTGGAACAGATGTGGTCATTTAAAACTTCTTTTGGACTTTGTGCATTATTGAGGTCATCAGAACCCTAGATCCAAGCCCACACGATCACAGAATTGAGCTTTGGGACTTAGTGCTGACTCCAGTCTGGATGGTCTCTTTCCTCTTTGGTATGGAGCACACTTTTCTAACCTCGCCCATTGCAACTGTGGCTCTGCAGCCCAGAGAAGTCTGCACCACCTCTGAACCAGGTTAACACCAAGTTTCTTCTCTTCTCAGAGAACCTTGTGAACCTAACTCTGTATTGAGGAGAAATTACGAAGGTATCCCAGAGCAATCCTTAGCCCATGCGGTTCCTTTAGCTTTTTCTCAATGATGCTTCTGGATGTGGCGCTGCCTGAGCAGCTCAAGATCACAAGTGATGAATTTGAGTGACCTCACTGATCAGGGGATCTCCATCCTGGTCCTGGAGGGCTGATATCCAGCAGGTTGTAGTGGCTTCTCTGCTCCAACACACTTGATTTCAGTGGTTGAATCACTGTGCAGCAGCTCATCAGGATCTGCAGAAGCCTGTTAATCACCTGCTGACTGAAACCAGGTGTGTTGAAACAGGGTGTAAACTAAAACATGCTGGATACTGGCCCTCCAGGACCAGGACTGAGAACTACTGTGATAGACGTTAATGTTTGCGGTCACAACAAAACCCCACAGAGTGGTCTAAATGTTTAAACGGGAACATCTTGAAGAAGCAGCAAGCTTCTACCGCAGGACCATTCATGTCCTGATTCATGGCACCTTATTTAAGTGAATTTGAAGAGCCACACAAACTCTGATGATATTTGAAAGTAAATGCAAGTCTTGCAGGTCCAGCTCACGAATCCACAATCAGTTTGGTGTTTATTATTTAAACATTTTCATGCAGCAGATTCAGTAAAATTCCAATCATCTGGTTCCAGCTGCTAAGTGTCAGACCATCCTGCCCCCTTAGGTAAGCTCATCACTAAAAAGAACATCTTCTGCTGTTTGAACTGTCCTGATCCAAATGGGCCGACTCTGATGGTTCATGAAACAACAGATTCTTCTAATTTAATCTTTCACAGGATGTTAGGATCCCATTTATTTCTGTAACACATTTCAAAACATCAGACGTGACCCAAGAGCTATCAACAGATTCAGTAAATACAATAAAATCAAATGTAAAAGATTAAATTACAAGAAAATTCATCCTAAAACAAAGAATCACAACACAAACATGAAATGACCTCATTAGGACCTAAACTGAACTTGAAGCAAATTTTTAAAAAGACAGCCTTAGTCAGATTTGTTGACTTTGTTACTTCCACGTCAAATGCACATTGATCACAAGGTGCTCTGTGACAAGATGCAACAATAAGTGGAGGAAGAGATAAACTGACTGAACCCAGAGTGTTTACAGGTCAACCTGAACTCATTTTTCATACATTTGCGGTTGTCCCTCCTAAGGAGGAATGACTTGGAAGTCCTACTTTGGTGGGAAACAGTTCCGGTGTGCCCATTTCAAGAACTAGAAGAGAGCAACACAGCCCAGCTCTAGGCCTATTTTTAGAGAAATCTGCTCAAAATTGAGATGCCCACACTTTAATGAGTATATTTCTGCAGTCATGTAGTCTACTTAATGGATTTTGGTCTTGTTCTAAGGTAAAATCTTGTGGGAACTGTTGAGATGTGTAATTATTAGTATATGGGTCACTGATCAAGTGTAAATGGACATGGAACACAAAAAAAAATGTGATTTTTAAATAATTGTTTTGTCGCCTGAGAAAATATGATTTCAGGATGAACACCTTTGGAAAAATGCAGCAGTAACTTCAATAAATTCATAATTCTACATCTTGACAGTTTCTGTACAAAGTTTGAGTTTGTTAAAGGGAAGAACAACTATTTTACAGATGTTTATATACAGACACGTCAGCATGATCTCAAATGGCACATCTGTGCCAGGTGTATTTAGAACGCAATACAGTTCCTTCCACAGACTTGTTTCAGTTATCTAACCTTCTAGTCATCTTTGTTAACATTTTTAAGTCATTCAGTGACAAAGTATTTGGAATTTCTTTGAATCCATGCATCACGGTGCATAGTGCGGAAGCTCCTCAAGATTTTCTCAGGTTCCCACTGGACTATTTTGGCATTTCCATCCCAGAGTGGAACCTTTGAGCCAATAGAATCACTTGCTCTTGAGTTCATAAACCAATCACAGGAGAATCGTCATAAACCAGGAAATGATGGAACTTTGCGTCTGAGAGTTGTAAAGTTTCTCCAGCTGTCGCGAGCTGAACTCAGAAGACCCGTAATGACGCCAAACACAGTTAAAGTATATATAAAAAAAGTCTTTTATTTTTGGTGGAGTTACCAGATGGGCGAGGCTGGAGACAGAGTCGGAGGGCAGGCGTGAGTCGAAACCAGATCGGCACAAGCAGGTACAGGGAGCAGGCTGGAGACGTGGTAGAAGACAGGCGAGGGTCGTGATGGCAGGCAGAGTTCAAGGCAGGGGTCAGGAGAAAAAACAAGGTCCGGAGGCAGAGATCAGGCATGGTGGATGGCTAGAGAATTTACTGGCAAATGTTTTCAATAATCTGGCAGAGACTGGATAGGTGGATGGTTCTTTTATAGCAGGGGAAGCAGGTGTGTGAGATGAGCTGAGGAGTCAGAAGCAGGTGAAGTGGATGAAGCTGATGACAGGAACAGGTGAGATGAATGAAGTTGATTGTGATGCTGACT